CGTTTGCGTGTGTCTCATTTTCTGATGAAGTACACACATACTATTACTGAGATTTCCCAGATATCAGCCGAATTGTGTTCAGTTAAAACGAATCAAAAGGCAAATGAAGTTCTTATTGTAAGCCTCGGTAAATGGGTCCCCCTACAGGCGTAAACGCGTCATTGCATTCGGCTGCGCAGCATTTAACGTCGACCGCAAAATCCGAAAAATATAAAATAAAAGTCACGCCGATGGCTGATCCGTTGTGGGTTGTTAAAAAACAGGCACAGATCATGTGTTCCTGAATGGAATGGGCACTGCTTTTGTAAGTCAAGTGTGCTTTATTGTCACTACAATTATACAGGGGCACGGTACAATGTTCCCTCGGCGAAAAGGTGAAAGTGATAGTTATTTTTGACAGACCACAGCACACCAAATTGAAACCAAATTAAACATTGACGGGTACACGTCCCATGAGTAAATCGGCCGTTTCTTCTCTTTCGTTATTGCCAGATGTTACACATCTGTTGTAGCTCATCATGGAAAAGACTGTTCTCGACTGCGTTATTGAAGCTCTAGATGGCCTCAGCGCAGACAATTTCAAGCGATTTAAAGTGAAATTGTGCGAAACGAGGAAAATCAAGTATGGGCAAATTGAGAACGAGACTACTGTGGACGTCGCACAAAGAATAGTCAGTACATTTACCAAAGCTGGAGCCGCGAAAATGACTGCGGACGTGCTGAGAGCCATTGGCCTGAACGGAGATGCGGAGACGCTGGAGACGGAAGGTAATGACTGTAAATGGAGGAGAAATGTGTGAAGAGATTTGTCGAGTTTTAAAATAAGTTTACTTGGATGAAAGGAAAAATATGTCTATCAGTCATCTACAACAGTACACTGTCGGAAAGAAAGCAGATTAAATGACGTCGCTGTGCGGTGCGAAGCGCCCCGTAAAGTTATATACGCCTACCTGCATAACTAAAGCTGTACATACTGCAGCGCCCCGGTCTCGGGACAGGGGGGCAGTTTCTCATTGTGTCCGGGTCTTTGGAGACCCTGGGGCAGCGGAATTGAAAGTGGGATTATGGGGGTTGGCACCACCGAGGGACGCTGGTTAACGGCAAGTTATTTGGGTAGTTATTTAGTGGACGGGTTTGTAAGACATCAGATATGTTTGGAGACCCTGGGGCAGCGGAATTGAAAGTGGGATTATGGGGGTTGGCGCCACCGAGGGACGCTGGTTAATGGCAAGTTATTTGGGTGGTTATTTAGTGGACGGGTTTGTAAGACAGCAGTCGGTAATAGGAAAACATCAGATATGCATCAGATATCTGGCGTCCTGTAATTTCTGTATCTGCGTTACCATAGCAAAATATGCTTCACGATATTTTAATAGAATTGAATTATGTTTGAATGGTTTCAAAGATGTTGTGGTCAGCAGTGGTTTATAAATGTAAGGAGTAAGTTGCCTGCAATTAAGTTATAGTTAGAATGAACGACATCACATCGATCGTCACGCATACTATAAGTAAAGTCCTACAAGCAGTACTACTGTTTTCTGTATTTTCCTAGCAATCATCTTATAACCAGCAACTTAAATCATTTCACCAGAGGTGGAAAATTCAGGTTCAGAAAGTATTAATCCAGCCCAAGATTTAGTTTCAACCAACCAGTTTCATATAAAGTGTCACAGTCACAGAATACTCAGCTGGTTAGTTGAAACAAAATCTTGGTCTGGACTTTGCTATCTGGACCTGAACTTTCCACCTCTGCATTTCACTATATCTTTCAAAAAATACACAAGTATCATAAAGACATCCAAAGCTCAAAATTCAGTTTCTTCATAATGCCAGGTAGTGAAATATTTTTTATTAAAATAAATCCATTGGCATGTGGACTAATGGGATATTATTGTGTTTCAGATGCTGAAGTCTCCGGTGCTGTAGGGAGGGAAGTGAATCCTGGGGAGGCAGGAGAGAAGGGCGGGGCTTCAGGCTACATGATCAATGGTGAGGGCGGGGCTTCAGGCCACATGATCAATGGTGAGGGCGGGGCTTCAGGCTACATGATCAATAGTGAGGGCGGGGCTTCAGGCTACATGATCAATGGTGAGATGTTTACAATAAATATAGTTCTTAATTGTGATTAATTGTAGTTTTTAAAAAGTAATTAAAACTTGAACATTTTTAAACTGAAATTTACAAAGTAATACATATTTACCGATACATATGTTTATACTAAAAGTACATTTATTTTAACATTGGTAATGGTATTAATTGTATGTTGTGTTTTTTCCATACTAGGGAAACATTTTGTTGACAGGAACATGACTGCCCTGATCAACAGGGTCACCTTGGTGCTTCCGATTTTAGACCAACTTTATGAAAGTGGATTCATACAGCATGAAATGTACATGGATATTTGTGATGAGAAAACCTCCTTCCAGCAAATGAGGATGCTGATGCAGAAAGTCATCATCCCTGGAAACAACCGAGCCAAAGACGAGCTCTGCGGGATTTTAGAGAAAGAACAGAAATATCTAATGGAGGAGCTGAAAGGAGAGTGAAACTGTCTGGATCGGCTCAAGAAATAAAACGTGGCATTGTAGACAGATACAGGTTATTATGGGGATCTGTTACATGTACAACGTGCAGATGAGGAGAGCATGTAACTGGCTGAAATACCAAACTTTCAGTACCCCCCAGTAAAGGATTTGTTACCTGAACTAAAGATCCAAGTGGCCTTTAAAAAACCCAACAAAAGTCTATATTTTATTATTTTACTATTATGTTAATAATGCTAAACCAAATTAGTGTATTTGGAGTAGAACATGGTATGAAACAGCTCTTTCTTAATTGATCTTTTCTGTTTCTGAATAATGAAAATCTTGAATGAATGCCTGGTGGATTTTATTGCTCTATATGTGTGATCAGTTTCACCACAATGCTTTAATGTTTCATATGTCATGATAGTGTTTTCAAACTGCCCTTACGCATGACTATGTGAGTGAATGGTGTGTGAGTGTATGACTGATAGAGAGGGGTTGGTGCCCCATCCTGGGTTATTCCCTGCCTGTAGCTGTGAGTGTGTCCTGTGAGGGGTTGGCGCCCCATCCTGGGTTATTCCCTGCCTTGTGTCTGTAGCTGTGAGTGTGCCCTGTGAGGGGTTGGGGCCCCATCCTGGGTTATTCCCTGCCTTGTGCCTGTAGCTGTGAGTGTGCCCTGTGAGGGGTTGGCGCCCCATCCTGGGTTATTCCCTGCCTTGTGCCTGTAGCTGTGAGTGTGCCCTGTGAGGGGTTGGCAGCCCATCCTGGGTTATTCCTTGCATTGTGCCTGTAGCTTCTGGGATAGACTCCAGAGCCCTGCAGCCCTGTGTAGGAGCAGTGGGTATGAAACATGGATGGGTGGATAAATCACAGTCACACTGGGCATTTTATACGCTTCCCACTGTCTAATAATCCAAGTGACCTAAATATGTGTTGATGATAAAACACATTAAAATCACACAATACACTTCATAATAAAAACGACATGCAGGTATATCAGCACAAGGCATTTCTCTTCCCTCAAAAAATGACATTATACAGCCACACAAGTCACCAGGTTGGCAGCCAGGGGGCGCCGTGGCTCACAGCGGAGGCCCTACAGCTTCAGCTCCTTCGGCATGGGCTCTCCCCACAGCCCGGCCAGCAGGTTGCTGGCTGCCAGAGCGGACATGGCGTTACGTGTGGCGTAGGAGGCGCTGGCGATGTGGGGAAGGATCACTGCAAGGCAAGCGTGTAAGAGGTGTAAGGAGAACATGTTAAAGACAAGCATGTAAGGAGCACATTGAGAACACATTAAAGACAAGCGTGTAAGGGGTGTGAGGAGCACATGGAGAACACGTTAAAGACAAGCGTGTAAGGGGTGTGAGGAGCACATGGAGAACACGTTAAAGACAAGCGTGTAAGGGGTGTGAGGAGCACATGGAGAACACGTTAAAGACAAGCGTGTAAGGGGTGTGAGGAGCACATGGAGAACACGTTAAAGACAAGCGTGTAAGGGGTGTGAGGAGCACATGGAGAACACGTTACACTACACAGACAGGAAAATGAGGGCAAACTTACTTCATAAGAAAAACTATATGCAGGTATATCAGCACAAGAATTGGAGAGCAGGGGTTTATTCCAGTTGGTATGTTTCTTGTAGCCTAATTAAAGATTATTTGCCACACATTTTTTCATTTGTAATTGCTAGTACAAAAATCTTAATATATACAGTATAAATACTTATACATACTATATTTTATATTAAAGTATTAAAGTAAAAAGAGCTCTTGTATTGGCCCATTCCTAGTGCATACAGATGGACAGTCAGAGCAATTTCTTTTTGCCCTCTCTCCTCAGCACAACCTGCCACTATCTCCTAATCTCCTTACCGCAGGGAAACCTACATTAAAATGACGAATATCATTGTGCAGTCATGTTAGAACTCACACAAGGGATGAATTTAGCTTCAAGTTCGATGTCACATCGATGTAGCCAACAGTATTAATATTCAGCATTCATAGCTGCAGTACTTTCATTCGACTGAAAAATAATTATGAATTATGAAAAATAAATCATATAAATGGTGTTTTATTTTATTAATGAACTTCTTGCGTTAATGTAAAAATGATGAGTAATGCTAGTATCCCGTCTGTCCCATAGTAAACATGTAAACATGCTATGCATTAGACTGACAGAAATTGTGTGAACTTGAGAACATATACATCTCACTTGACAACTTGACTATTCACCTGTGAAATGTGATTCCCTGGTTTCTAGTCTCAACATTTCTCATGTCCTTGCAGCCACAGCTAGAAACATAGCATACTGGAATTCTGGCTTCTTATTCAAATTAATTGCAGAAAATGCAATACTGTTTTTAGGTATAAAAACAAACCAGGCTAATTTCAGTGTTTCCTTACAGTGGCATACCTGCTGTGTACTATACACTACATACCTTCCCGGCCCAAGCTGAATAAGACCCCCAAGTCCTTATTGGGACCATGTCTTCTTTTTCAAATCAATGTGCCCGCTTGATCACCATGCCCTGGTGCCATTTCACTGTTACAAAATGACAATCACATTAAGTCTGGGTAATTTCACCATTTTCATTACAGAGCGATCTGTGAAACTCATACATGAAATAAATATACGTGATACAGCTTAACCATTTCGTTCATGCATTGTTTTGTATTGTCAAAATGTTTTTATTATAAACTGCACAGATGTGCCACTGCGAGCGTATACCATGCATTGTTTGTGCGCAGTAGTTTCTGCTGAAAGATTACCAGTTCAAATGGCATTAATTTGAAAAATATACAGTGAAATATCGTTAAACAACAGCAATAATAATATCGAAGAAATGAAACACAATATACAACTCAGATTCCTATTTTAATTCATTTTATTTAAAAGACCAGCTTAATTTCCGGGTGTGGGCATTCGCGCTAAACTTGATGGCGTACGAACCAATGAAAACGATGCGGGGCGAAATTAAATATTGGCGGGTATCACAACCATTTCTGTTTTGGTTTTTAGCAATTGTCGTACATCTGTCGTAGCTCACCATGCGAAAGTCTGTTCTGGACTGCGTTATTGGGGCCCTAGATGACCTCAGTGCAGACAATTTTAAACGATTTAAGGTGAAACTGTGCGAACCGAGAGAAATCAAGTATGGCCAAATTGAGAAAGAGTCTAAAGTGGAAGTCGCGCAAAGAATAGTCAGTGTATTTACCAATGATGGAGCCGTGAACCAGACTGCGGACGTGCTGAGAGCCATTGGCCTGAACGGAGAAGCCGAGGCGCTGGAAAGGGAAGGTAATGACTGTAAATGGAGGAGAAATGTGTGAAGAGATTTGCCGAGTTTTAAAGTACGTTTACTTGGATGAAAGGAGAAATATGTCTATCAGTCATCTACAACAGTACACTGTCGGTTAAAAAGAAAGCAGATTAAAGGTTGTCGCTGAGTCTCGGGGAAAGGGGTGTAGTTGCGGATCTTGGAGATCTCCATGGGGCAACGGTAGCCTACTGAAATAGGCGTTGGCGCCACCGAGGGACGCTGGTTAAGGGGAAGTTATTTTGGTAGTGCTTACTGAACGGGTTTGTATGGCGTGGCCGACAACAATCGTTAATATGTTTAAAGAAAATATGATATTCATTAGATAAATAACGACACAATACGTTTTATGCGCACGTATAAGAACGTATAACGTGCTGGTATAAGCGTATAGGATCGCTTATATATCCAATCTATTTCTAGTTGCATGTCTCCATTTCCGGGCTGAGATACAATCCGCTACTTTCTCAACTTCATGCATTGATCTGTGTCCGTGTTAGCCACGTGTCTGTGAAGGAATTCGGTTTATTTATAATCCCAGGTAGTGAAATAATATTTTAATTAAAAGAAATCTACTGGCATGTGGGTTAAAGCGATGCTATTGTGTTTTAGGTTCCGAAGTCGGTGTTGCTGTAGGGCTCCGGTGAATCCGGAAGAGAAGGACGGGACTTAAAGGTACGCTGACTTTGGTGAGATTTTTACAATAGATACAGTTAGTAATTTGGATTAGTTGTAAAAACATAGTCATTACTTGAGTACTTTAAAACTCTATTTTATGACATTGGTAATGTTATTAATTTGCATGCTTTCTTCCAAACTAGGGCAACATTTTTTGACAGGCACAGGAGTGATCTGCCCCACATTGCCAGGCAATGTCGAAGATATAGTATGGAATATTATTTAGCACTATACAACGTAGAATATAATCATTATGATATTATTAAAAAGCATGCGAAATATCCATGATGAAATCATTACAATGTAATCAACACAATGTAATCGAGTATGTATTTGCACCTTGTATTAGCCTAAGAGTTTCTGTTAGCTACTTTGTTAGTCCTGAATCTATGAATATCCACTTTTATTAGTGTATACTTTATCACTATGTTAAAGGACAAATATATTATCAACCCTCTAGCCAGACAATGTGCAACAGGCTGAAGCAGCCAAGGTTTACTACGGCAGGAAGGGATTCGCCTGAGTTCACCAGAAGTTCACGGCTGAGCATTTTTAAAAAACCAAGTGGAGATGGTCACGCCACCATTATGTTCGGCTGAGGGACCAAACAGTAAAAGAAATGATGGACAAACTTATCACCTACGGGTGTGGATTAAGGGGAAAAAACAATGATTGTGAATGGTTGAAGGAATGATGATGCTCAAGTGATGAGATATTGTTAAATGATAAGAACTTGTATAAAAATTGGTGTAAAACAGTATTGGACACACTTGTAAGTGTCCGGCCTTGGTTGTATCTTCATTGTTGCAATAAAGACTGAATTTGGATCCACACCAGCGGCTTCTGACTTCTGATTTTGCAGAGAAGGAAAAACCACAACAATCTATGCATCAATATCTCTGGATCGGGGGGGGTGTGTGTGTGTGTGTGTATATATATATATTATATGTCAGGACCATAAAAAGCACCTATAGCTTCTGGGATAGACTCCAGAGCCCTGCAGCCCTGTGTAGGAGCAGTGGGTATGAAACATGGATGGGTGGATAAATCACAGCATTTTATACGGTTCCCACTGTCTAATAATCCAAGTGAACTAAATATGTGTTGATGATAAAACACATTAAAATCACACAATACACTTCATAATAAAAACTACATGCAGGTATATCAGCACAAGGAATTTCTCTTCCCTCAAAAAATGACATTATACAGCCACACAAGTCACCAGGTTGGCAGCCAGGGGGCGCCGTGGCTCACAGTGGAGGCCCTACAGCTTCAGCTCCTTCGGCATGGGCTCTCCCC